ACCACCTCAGCTGCACCTAGCTCTACATTTTAAGAACTTCATTCCAAAATAAACATTTTAACTTTATCTTTAAAAAAAAGGGGGGGGGGCGGGAACTGATAAAAGCAACTGGCATATCAGAAAGCAAGAAAAAAAAAATTCAAGTCTGAAGTTTTGCTGTATCTAAAAAGTACAAAGATAAGTAGTTTTCTGAATTCATTCCCTCATTTTTTTGTTATTTTGTGTCTTGCACGAATTCCAATTTTGGGTTACAAACAAGGATTCCTAATTGCAGACCTTCTAATTGCAGTTTCACATTTTAAAAATTACTTTCTTAGATCTTTTGTAGAAGAAATAGACCACACACTGCACAAATGTGGCTTCAGATAAAACAACAGCATGAACATCCTGAGAACATGTTTTTTCCTGCAAAACTAGACACCTATTCCTTTATGAAACAGGCTTATTTTCTTTAAAAACAGATATGAAAATCTGAGAGAAAAGTGAATGGACTGGGTGACTAAAAAAGATCACATGCACATGATTACACCTTTTATCCCCACTTTGCCTTTATGAAACTGAGCACATTTTCTGGATGGATAAGGCAGCTTCCAGAAAGAAATTAGAGGCTCAAGCTATAAATCAGTCAACGGAGAAGGTAGCTGTACTATACCTTCACAGAAAAAAGCAAACCAAGGTCAGCACCTCAGAAGTTAAACTAAGAAATTTTCAAAGGGTAAGTAAGACAGTTTTAATATTCAGGGCTACTTAACCTTTGAGAAAACAGTAGCAAATGAAAATTACTTCAGACATTTACATGGCTTTAAAAACATCATGCTAGTTAACATCACAAATTAAGCTGAAGAGCTATGGGCTTGTTACACTGCTGGTCAGGGAATGGTCAAAAGATCATTTGTTACCAGCATTTTACTCATACAGTGTACAAGGGTGAAGACAGGAAGGAGGGAAATGAGGAATTCCCCAGGTCAAATACTGTTAAATGCTCTACAGTTTTACTGAAAGATCTATCTTTTATTTTGCTTTATAACTAGTAGGATTATTTTGGTCTCTTCCTGGTAGTGACCTCATGTTTCACACCAAACTTTATTTAGTAAACCACCACAAAAAAATTTGATGTAACAGTAATTGGACTTAAATGCCAAGGGTGACAAAACTAACAAACTGGAGCCTGTTCCAAAGTATGAGTTTGCAAGAGTGGCTTCATGACCGAAATTAATGAATTTATTTGAAACTTTGAAGCTAAGAGCACAGCAGGGTTCAGGATCAAGCCGATTTCATGATACTTTTTAAAGCTTTCTTCCTACCAAACGTAATAAACATTGAGAAGTCATACAATGTGCATTCATTTATTTTGAAAACTGAAAAATTGGAAGATAAACGATACTAGTAATTCACAGAATTATGTCAGAATATAATCAGAAACTAAACCGAAACACTGTTCAAAATTACTAAATAGTTTATGGTGCAAGAGAACAATTTTCATATTGTGGACAGTTTTTAGTTCCTGTATGTTTAATTCCAAAGACAAGACACAAAAAATATTTTCCCATGGCTCTAGCACTTACTTATTTGATCTGCAGATAACGTGTATCATCTGCGTAAGTGTGATCTACACACAGATGTTAAGGTCTGTGTTAAGCAAGCATCTTTGTCAATATGGACTTTCCAACTATTTAAACTTCCTTTAAATGTAAAAGATACTAGCAACCCTGGAACTTTGCCAGGTCAAGCATCTGCCAACTACTGAACACAGGCTACTTTTAATACCCTTAACAGCCCTTAAGCTGTTTCCTGAAACAGGATGCATTTGTCTACATAGTGATTGTATATTTATTTTACTACAAAAATGCTTACCAAAAAAAAAAATCCCACCCTTCCATACTTTGGGCAACTAGATGTGTATTTCTTTCAGAGTCTTAATGCCATGATAGCAATAGCTAAACAAAGAAAAACACTCATAAATTGTAAAGTCTGTGCAGAATTTTAATTCTAAGTGTAAATAATGAAAAGAACCGCTGGGAACATATTTTCTTACCAGATGTTTGCTGTTATACCTTAAAAAACAAATAAGCAGCAAAATGGCTGCTTCTTTTCCTTGGTGATACCACACCACAAGCACAAAGCATAGACTTGCAGAACTGCCATTGTAATCTTACAGTACACAGCAAAAACTCTTCATAATTTCTTCTTTAAAATGGAATAACTGGAATCAATTTGGTCTAATAAAATAGCAAACCATTCCACAACCGAGGAACAGTTTGATTTGTCTCTCAGTTTGCTGAGAATTAAACGAAGAATTTCCTGCTGTATTACAATTTTGAATGTAAGCATCATTTGTGTACAATTGCAACAAATTAGCATTACTTACAAGAAGGGAAATACTAATATACCAGCTTATCTTAAAGAAATTAACGACTTTGTTTAGACATTATGAGCCTATTTAAAGCCGTAGTTTGCTGCATGTAAGTAATATTTATTGAAGGTCAGATTCTTCTACCTGTTTCTTAAGTTTTTACATTTAACTCCGTACACAGCAAGAATCATGGTGCTTTCTAGCGGGCAAAGTGTATAATCAGCTTAGGCAGATTTTTAAAAGAAAAAAAAGAAATTTTAATTTAACCAGTCCTAACTGCTGAAGGAAGCCTACCTGAGCATTCTATGACTTGTGGCACTCAACACCATTCAAGACAAAAATGTAAAGCTCAAATTAACATAACACAGTTTATCTGTGCAAGCTGACTCTGCACAACCGTCTTAATGGGCTTGCTTGTCTTCAGTGAGAGAAGAATCATAGAATCATAGAATCATTAAGGTTGGAAGAGCCCTCCAAGATCATCGGGTCCAACCGTCAACCCAACACCACCATGCCCACTAAACCATGTCCCTAAGCGCCTCATCTACACATCTTTTAAATACTTCCAGGGATGGTGACTCAACCACTTCCCTGGGCAGCCTGGTCCAATGTTTAACTACTCTTTCAGTAAAGAAATTTTTCCTCACATCCAATCTAAACCTCCCCTGGCGCAACTTGAGGCCATTTCCTCTCGTCCTTTCGCCAGTTACTTGGGAGAAGAGACCAACACCCACCTCGCTACAGCCTCCTTTCAGGTAGTTGTAGAGAGCGATGAGGTCTCCCCTCAGCCTCCTTTTCTCCAGGCTAAACACCCCCAGCTCCCTCAGCCGCTCCTCATAAGACTTGTCCTCCAGACCCCTCACCAGCCTCGTTGCCCTTCTCTGGACACGTTCCAACATCTCAACATCCTTCTTGTAGTGAGGGGCCCAAAATTGAACACAGTATTCGAGGTGCAGCCTCACCAGTGCCAAGTACAGGGGCACGATCACTTCCCTGCTCCTGCTGGCCACACTATTTCTGATACAGGCCATGATGCCATTGGCCTTCTTGGCCACCTGGGCACACTGCCGGCTCATGTTCAGCCAGCTGTCGACCAGCACACCCAGGTCCTTTTCCGCCAGGCAGCTTTCCAGCCACTCTTCCCCAAGCCTGTAGCGCTGCATGGGGTTGTTGTGGCCGAAGTGCAGGACCCGGCACTTGGCCTTGTTGAACCTCATACAGTTGGCCTTGGCCCATCGATCCAGCCTGTCCAGGTCCCTCTGCAGAGCCTTCCTACCCTTGAGCAGATCAACACTGCCGCCCAACTTGGTGTCATCTGCAAACTTCCTGAGGGTGCACTCGATCTCCTCATCCAGATCATTGATAAAGATATTGAACAGAACTGGCCCCAATACTGAGCCCTGGGGAACACCGCTCGTGACCGGCCGCCAGCTGGATTGAACTCCGTTCACCACAACTCTCTGGGCCCGGCCGTCCAGCCATCAAAGTGTTAATAAAGTACAGCTCTAATGTAAGTTCTGTTCATGCATTCTTTAGACTCTGTGGACGATGGGAAAAGGGGAGATGGCTTTTAACCAGAAGTACTTCTCCATCAAGGATTTTAGGCAGATGTTGTAGCTAGCAATAGATAATATCAAGTTCACAGAGCTAGCACACAGTACCATTAAAAATGCTTTTTCTAAAATTATTCTACCCAGACTAAAAGTTTGGGTGTTTTTATTTTTAATCTTCCATTGTTATGTCCCTTTCCATATTTCAGAAGTCTTCCACGGTTTTCTTAAATGAAATGTATTTTTGACAAGTCTCTCCTGTTGCCCCCCTCCCATATTTAAAAAAAGAAATGCTTATTTACACACACAACCTACACCATCTAACATTGGTTTGAACTGAACAATCCCCTTGCAGATATGTCAAAATCTGAAAGTAGTTTCTGCTTCCTCAGCCTAAGATTTATTGTCCAGTGAAGAAACAAAACTCAGTGGATCTCAATACTTTGAGCAGATCACATAACTGGAAAAGTAATTTTGATTTTTACAGTTGTCATTATCTTAAGCTGAAGTTCAATTTATAAATTTGTAATCCTTACTTCTGTATCACAGCTTATGTATGTTTTTAAAGACATACACAAAGAGACAAATACCAGATTATGAACGAACTTAAACTATTTATTGTCAAAAGATTCCTCATGGAAACTAGGGTTCTGATTTTGTAAGCCTTTTCATATACCTTCTCAGAACTGGGTGTTAAACAATCCCAATGCCAATTCATCAGAACACAGTCAATGACAAGATACATCATACCTTGTTAGCCGTCAGGACAATCTCCCAAGATAACAGCATTCAAAAAGGTAACTGAAATGGGTGCACCGAGCTTCACAATTTGTCTTGCATCTACTATCATATCAGGGAGGAAATGGTTAATTTAAAGGGTCTGGTTTCTGAAAGATTGCTCCAAGTGTTTCACAGAAATATTTTAGTTAGACTCATAACACCAAAAAAAACCCTAATAGATGTTATTCCACTCCTTTGCCACACCTTAGAAAGAATGGTGAATTCCTAATAAGATCAAGGTCTTGCATGACCTATCAAAGACCTTTGTTTTGCAATACTGTTTTCAAGCATTTAAACAGAAATACAGTCTGACATAATTTTCTCCCTCTTAGTTTATTATCTTTTCATACACATTCCAAAACACCAAGCTGCCAGTCTGCCTTAATATGCACAATGAGCAGCTTTGGGGAGTCAAATTAGTTTCTTGTACTGCTGGAGGTCCAGGGTGTAACGTGCAAAACCAGTCAACTCCAACACACAGCATACCAATAATCATTACCACAGAACAGATATCCATTAGTGTGCTGAGCAGAGCTATATGCTGTATGAAATACTATCAAAAACTTAAATTACAGGTCATGGCACATCTGCACACGGTATTTAGGCAGGGAGGGTCTTTAATGTCATTTCAACATGACTTGGTAAAGAAACTGTGAAGTTCACTGTTATCAATCCTCTTCAGAACTAGATTCATCTTCCTGGTCAGAGAGCTCAGCCACAGGAAAGCGCAGGATGGCTGCCACCCCCGTCAGCTGGCCAAGCTGCTCTCCAGACACATGAAGGCTGGAGAAGATGCGTACTGTGCCCATGTTCTCCCGTACGCTGTCTACCAATTTAACATATCGGGCGCGGGTAGCCACATCCTGGTGCCTGAAAAGCTCATCGCTGATCAGCAAGGTATCGATTGCCATGGCTTCATTGGCCTGCTCCACATGTTTTAGACCATAAAAAGCCCGGTCAGGCTCATGCTGCAGCATTTTATAGAAGTCATCTAAGGCTTTGACCTCACCAGCTGCCTTAGTGTCAGAGAGACGGCTAGTTACAGCTGGGTCGCAGAGAGCTTCCTTCAATGCGTATTTATGTCCCGAGGAAGAGTGGACCTAGAGTAAAAAAAGTCAAAGGTTTGGTTTTTTTTTAACTAAAAAGGACCATTTTCTTGATTAGCCAATCACAAACAGCTTCCACTATACATAACATTTATCTTGATAATAATTCAAGAAAGTTACCTCTTTCTTGAAACCTGATTCTTTTCTTAAAGAATCCCTCCTGCAAACCAAAGCCTATACCAAATCCCTTAAACTGTATTTTAAGAAGTGCGGGAAAGCTGTTTCTCTTATTCAAAGACTGGGTCAAATATGCATGCTGTTGCAGACAGACCTCAAGGTAGGGCCACTTGATACTAAGAAACTAAGACTTAAGCCTCTTCCTTTTAAAGCATTCCAGAAGAGGAGGACCTCTTAAGACTGCAGACCCACAGTGCAACAGCATCAAGTCTTGCACAACTGCATAGCTACTATGCTTGCAAAGCTGTGAAGTACAATAAAACTTTTACACTTACTATTATCACTTTGCTACAAATGCAGAAGGAGGCTTCTTGGTGCAGTATGTCTCCTAAACGTTGTGACCATTAAGTGCTGGGGCACGCTTCTCCACCCCCCTTGCCTTTTGCAAGCATAGATTACAGGCCTACTACAATTAAAAAATGATACAAGTCTCCTTATGAAAAGGAAAACTTATTTTAGGCTCTGAGTTTGCCTCTTTCAGTGAAGGGCAAAAAACCACACCCACTCAATCAATGAGATGACTAAGGAACAGGAAAAAATGCTGTGGTCTGCAAAACCTTTAACTATGTAGTACAAAACTAACACCACAATTAACTAACCTCTATCACATCCATGTACTTTTTTTTTCTTCTTTAAAAAGCTTTAGAAAGCTGTTATTAAACATGCATGCTATATAGAATGACAGATTAACGCTACAGTTAAACTATTTTCCAACTTGTACTTCACTCTTAATTGAAGATTAAGTACGCCTTTACAGAGAGTTTGAAATATTTAATACTTTCTCTACTCCATATTAAGGTATCCCAGGAAAGAACCGTCCCTGTATCCTGCATAACTACCTTATAGTTTGGGAGGCATAAGAATAATTTCCTTATGATGCTCAGACAGAAATCTGTCTAATAAGTGAATTATTTCCCGTTACCCTTATAATTATCTTATATTATCACAGACAGCTCTTCAGCCTCTTTTTACCCACTATGGAGACTGTTTAGCTCCTTACCTGTAGGAACTTGGCCCTGTTCTCCAGCAGAAGCTTGTTGTCAGTCTTGACCGCCTGCTGGAACATGTAGTCACAAAACTGCTCCCGTACGAAGCCTGGGCTAGCCACCAGCACACACTTCACCACCTCAAAGTTGATATGCCGCTGGATGGCTTGCACCACCTGCTCGTAAAACCTCTCCAAGGCCCGGTCGTGCTGACTGCAGTTCCCTTTCCGTTTGCGGGGGATATTCACCTCCACCTTGGCACGGGTAAGCGTCATGCTAGGAGTGACCAGACAGACATGAGCCAACCCTTCCTGCATGACCACGGCTGCCACATCGGCGCTCCAGGCTGGGTCGCAGGCCTGCTCGATGCGCTCCAGCACCACGCTGTCCCACTGCTTCTTTGCCAGCGTGAACTGCCGGTTGGGCTCCAGCTCGATGGTGTGGTAGGCCCCCATCTTGACATACTCATTTTCTTGGATGTTAGTGCCCTTGACCCGGAGCTGGCAGGCCTGTGAGTCAAAGTCGATGGCCTCCACGCAGAGGGTAAGGGTGGTGCGGATGCGGTTGCTGCCCACGCTGCCCGTGGCCGACTCGGTCTGCACCTTCCGGATTGTGGAGGCCCGCAGGCTGTCACCCACCTGCAGCAGGTTGTAGGTGTGCCACATGTCCTCGGGCTCCTCGGGGATCAGTGTCACCTGCCCCGCATTATCCTTCTCCAGGTCCTTCCTC